GGACCCCAAAACTAGTCAAAGTCAACACCGTCGCATCGTGCCTACCCGCGCTATGCCCCTAGACCAGGTGAGCCTTCCTTTTTGCTTTCCTGTTTGCTCCAAAATGGCTCTTATTCTTATACCTGAGTTTCTGGTATGCTAGAAGGACGTCCCTTCAGTGTTCTTCTCGAAAATAACACTGTTAGATAAAATGTAAACCCCTGAGCTTTTCCTACCCTTTGTAAGATCCCCTCCATTTCTACACAGTTGCTTTCAGCAGAAGGAAGGGAGATGATAGTCAAAGAAGAGACATCATTAAAGGTCTGACTAGGGAAGGAAACGTGAACGGTGAAACTCATTATATGTCCAGAACTCGCCTGGGACGTGGTACTTGGTGTTTATTTCCCATGCTACACCAAAGCCGTCCTACACCTTGCAGAAGGAACCTTTTTTACGCACCCAGTCACTGTGGTCAGCACAGAGATTTTGCTGGCAACAGATGACGCAGATGACGTCTGCAACGCCCTTTTCTAAGCTGCAGCCACTTTCATGAATAACCTAAATGACCCTTGTGCGTAACTGACACTCATTTCTGATGACGAGAGAAAGAAACTCATTGATGTCCTGCTTATGTATGCGAACACATTCTCAAAGCAAGGTACTAAATGGGACGAACAAATATCTTCAAGCATAAGACTGAAACCGGCGAAGCTAAGCCCATCCGGCCACCACATAGACGTGTTCCGCCACCTCCACTAGAAGAAGAAAACCGTCTGGTTGAAGTCATGAAGTCGAGAGACGCTAAAACCGTTACTTAAGTTTTCTTCCATCAGTGGGTTTCCCAGCACTCATAATGGTCTAGGCCCTAACTATGAGAGCCGACTCTTCACTGAACTATGTAAGACCTATGCAAGACATCTGCAAGGCAACGGGTAGGTAGAAGGAATGAATCGCACTCTGATCGGACTGCTGAAGGCCGTCAATAAAGACCCACTACCGGATGATGGGGGTTTGAGCGTAGGACGCATCCTCCTGGCGTGCAGACCTCCACTTCATACATCAA